TTTTCCCCCTCTCATCCTCCCCCTCTTTCCCCCCTGTCTCTCTGTCTCCAGTTACCATGATTTTTGAAACGTGGTTGGCTAACCGAGAGGTGGGCACGTGAACAGTGACAAGTACACAGCTGGAAAGTCACATGCAAGATCATTGTAAACGAACAGGAGGACTCTTCCTCAAGTCTACGCCTAGAGATCCAACCTCCCCAATAGTGCGAGTTCATACGTCAATGTAAAGAGAAAGGTGGATCATTTCAATTGGAATTCCGGTGGCTACGAGGATGTCATCAAGAAAGGTCTGGAGGGGGGGCTGCGCTCCGGAATCGACGGCATGATTGAGAGTATCAAGAATAAGCTCAACACGGCTGGACGACTGACCTACCCCGGCGGTGCCGCCCTGGATTTCCAGAAGCCCTCTACAGGGCGATATGGCGATTTGAATGTTGCTGTCAAGATGAGGCTGTATGTTTCCCTCCTTCCCTTTTCCCTCTTGCCTACAGCCTCTTCCCGGAGTTACTGACCCTGTGTGTGCCGCGTAATAGGTTCAAAGCCGATGGTCGCATCAAAGTACCAGATGTAAACGACAACGGCGGCAACCGCATGTCCATAGCCAGCACCAGCGTAGCATCACGGGCTGCCGTGGCTAACACGCGCATAGCAGCCTTAGCCATCTCTGACATGCCACTTTTGAATCCCGACTTCCGCGGACCCGTTATCTCCTCGCATAAGCTGACTTGGACCACACGCTCATCCAAGGACCTGGGTATCGACGGGAAGCTGACTTTGACGGTACGGGGTAGCAACGACACCTCGAGGACTGTGAGCCTGGCGGCTTGTGTGCTGCGCTTCAATGTTGGGGAGGATGAGGACAAGGGGTGCCTGTTTAGGGTTGGGAGTAAGTTTCAGTATCGCAGTGGTGGTCCACTTGTCCCTCAGGAAGTTGAGGGGCAGAAGAAGGAGGAACAAGACGATGAGCCCAAGCCGGAGGATACTGTGACACTCACTTGGTCCCCCGACGTGTACACGACCACCGCGACCATCAACAGCCCCAAGGACACGCCAGTGGTACTGCCAGGACCAAACCCGGCACCGGAGCCTACCGTCGTCCCATGGGAGATTGAAGTTCAAAGTGGTGGCTTCTGGGATGAGGCCATAAACGTCCCACCCAGGGCGTGGTTCCAGTTGGACATCACTGGCGCCCCTGCCGTGCCTGAAGGTGGCCACAAGTTGGTGAGGGTGAATGAGAAGACGCAGGATAAGGCCGGGAAGATTATTGCGGAGTGGGAGAAGGAGTACCAGGTTGTGTGGTATGGGTGAGGGGGTACTGCTTTGGTAGTTGGTAGGCCGGAAAGGACTGATGATCTAGGTAGGTAGGTGCTGAGTAGGTACATGTAAGGCGAGTATCGTCATACGCAAGCAGTAGGTAGTATAACACGAGAAAATTTGCAAGGATATCACTAGTAGTAGACAGTTTGAGGCCACATCGTGATGAAAGCAAGGCAGCATCAAGCGGATATGCCTCGATGCAGCATCCGTAGGCGCCGCGGATGCGTATACCCGACTGCCACCCCCTCACTCTTACCTCTTTCCCACGCCCGATATGCACTTGAGCACGCACCAGCTCATAATTGCATTGTCCAATAAACCAATGCATTCCAGAAAAAGCAGTGATGGAATGAGAAGATGTGTTTCTGGCCAGCTGAAGGGGAAAGGGGGTGAGGGGGGAGACTCCTACTGGGCTGCCGGATAGTCTCTGATCCATTTCCATCGCTTAGTTACTAGAGGATTGACTGCGGCAGCAGCCTTAGAGAGAGCGCGAGAGAGTTCTAACCAGGAAAACCAAGGGTTCAACATTATATCTACGGCCACTGCCCAACACTCCCGCAAACGGGATAAGGGCCCAAAAGGAGAGCGTTTACCTGGGCTACGGCCCCATGCTTATTTATATTAGGTTGCGGCCTTGGGGGATCTGATATTATTCTAGATAAACTGTAGAAGGATTAATACTCAAAAGGAATAGTTAGACACTTGTCCTATGTTCTGGGGACAACCTACCTCCTCCGCCGAGGTAGGCAAGCCGCCTCCTGAGAGTGAGCCTAATAGCTTCACCTGCGAGGTCTTGTAAGAAGAGCTGGGTGAAGCTTATTTGTGGTTTGGATTTATATATAGTTTAGCTCAGCACGTCCTTTGCCCTAATACGGGACCTGAGCGACCAAGATTGTTGGACGGAAAATACAATTAATTAATTCATCTTTTGGTCGTGTGACTCGTGTGACTGCTTAATAGCAAGCTGAAAATGAGTCCTGAAAGAGAAATAGAGTGACGGTTATTGTATTAATTAGAGGAAGAATCTGTTATGGAGTCATTGGATGCGTGGCTACTAGTACTCGGGGTCTTTTTCTGAATGTTCAATGTTGACTTGACGTGAGGAGGAGTGCGCCAGTCTGGAAGATCGTGCCGGCCTGCTCATTGGGAAATCGCCACCCTGCACTTTCGCACCTTCCCACTCCCCTTCACAAACTCTCAATACGAACAAGAAATTTTAGAAAAAAGAAAATAAGACAAAACACACACCCAAAAACACGGGGGAAAAGATGGGAAAATGGAGGACTTTTACGAAGCCCTCCGACTGGACGACGCAATCACTTCGTCCATCCGCGAGAGCGTCGGAGCCGGTCACCGCCGCCCCTCTGCCCTCCGAGCTCTCGTCTCCAAACGCCTCCAATTCGCGATCGACATTATCGACATTTGCAAGGATGATCGGGAACTCTGCCTTCCCATCCTCCAGGACGAATCTCTCAGCACACTCAACAACGTGGCTTTGAAGTACTACAGCCCTCCCGACGACAGTGACACCACAACCCAACAAATATCCAAAGCCGTACGCCCGGGTCCTCTCTATCGCGCCCCAACGACCATCCTCGGCGCCCTCTCCAACTCCGGAATCCTGACTATCCAACCCCCCGCCGCAAATACTGCCCTCCGCGAGCTCCTAACCCTCCACGCCAACACCGACAATGGCGGTAACACAACATATCTCACCTTTAGCCAATTCACTTCCACATCAGCCTACAAGTCCAATCTATCATCCCTTACCACCGGCGATGCCACAGCACTCCAAAAAACCCTAACCTCCCTCCTCCGTCTGCACGCCCTAGTCACAGACGCAGAAGACCTACCCGCTCTCCTCGATGCCGGCTTCACATCCGCCCGCTCCATAGCCCTAATATCCCAATCTAACTTTACCAACCGTCTCTCCTCCTCTGCCCTCAGCAACGACAAACTCGCAGCTATACACCGCGAAGTACAACGCATCGACACACGTAATGACGCCATCTGGGCCGACATTGTCCGCTCCCGCGTGAGATCCCAGTCCTTGCCGTAACGGGTATAAAATATGGCAAAGATGACCCTGAGACGGACCATGTACAAGCCAACCTCGACACACTCTTCCGCGATCTAGACAGCGTGACCGCTGATGAGAGTGCCTCTGTCTTGGGCCCGGCGTCATACCTCGTCGATCTCATGCAGCTCCTCCACGGTGTATTTATCGGGACTTGTGAAAAGGGATGGGAGGTGAAGGATGCCGAGACCATGTTGGATTATCTTCTTGCATCGGAGGCCTGATGTGGCGGAGATGCAGATGAGACGGCGGTTACGTATCAGGAGATGGCTGTCGAAGTTATGGAAAATTATCTTGAGAAGGAACTTGGTGTGGATGACGGGGGGATGTATACAGCTGTTGCGGAGAGGGTTGCACCTATGGCCCTATGGGGGTTTTCCCTTATAACAATGCTATGGGGATTACAAGGGCTGCGTTGCATGGGTTGGGGTATTCACAGTATGAGCTGCTGAGGCAGTTTCAGACGGATGGGGATCCGGTACATCGAGCTTTTCCTTACTTGCCGGCGTCAAAGGAAGGGGATTATCTGGCTGCGGCACTTGCTACGCATGGGAGACGGTTGGCTGCTGAGGCACTCAGCTTGCAACCGTTGGACTTTGAGGCTATCACCCAGGAGGGTATTTACACGCACGACTTTGTCACTTTTCTTCAACAGCAGCATCCGGACCTGGCTTCCAAGACCTATGATCAGGCGGTGGGACTGTCCTTGGCGGGAGAGTACTCGGGCTATGAAGCGGATGACCTGAAAGTGGCAGCATCATCGCCTGATGATGGATCGAAATCCGGAACACCAACTTGGAAGATGATTAACACGGCGTCGACTATGAGCCTTCGACTGGTCAAGACCCAGCTTCTGCCGAGATCTGATCTCACACCTTTAGAGCTGAATATGGTTCTCAAGACTCGATACTTGAGCAATCGCCTCGTGGTCACACTGGAGAAGACGGTCACCGAGACCATCGACGATAAGCCAGTCACAGAACAGAAATTCAGCGACAAACTGGAGCATATGTGTCTACAAGAGTCGTCGATGATCGCTCGCTGTGATGAAGCAGCCAGATTATCTCGCCGTACATCACTCGATCTCCAATCCTTCATCCGTCTACGAAAGATCCTTGGCTGGTCCATCGAGACAACAGATGCAGCTATAGACGCCCTCGCCCATCGAGAAGTCATCTATCCCAGCAATACAACCCAATATCACGTATTGGATGGAGACTTTATCCAACGTCTAGCCGCAGCGCAGGAATTATCCATCAAGACTAGTATCACTGTCGTCGAGCTGTTTCCCTTCTGGGGCCTCATGTACGCACAATTTCCCAATTCTCTCTATGCACGACTGTTTCTGCGTAGCGGGTTGGTCAAGTTGTATCCGTCCTTGGCGTTTGTGGATGGAGATGGACAGACGGATGCTACGTTTGGGAAGAATATGGGTGCTGTGTTGCGGGCGTTGGGTATGACGCAGGATGATCAGGTTGTGTTCATGGGGATTATTGGGTTCAATCCCAACACACCCTGGACGCTTGATGGGATTGCTAGGCTGTATAGTCATCAGCGGCTGTGCAAGATTCTTCGTCTGCCGGTGAAGAGGTATGCGGATTGGTGGAGGGTTGTTTGTCAGAAGGGGGGTGTTGATACTTTTACTGATCCGCAGAGTGCGTTGAAGCTATTGGATTTGTGGTTGGATTGGCCAGAAGGGATTGAGTCGATCCAGCAAGCGCTTGATTTGATCGTTCTCTTGGAAGAAGAGGAGGGGGTGAAGTTGGATGAGCATGATTTGAGTGCTGTGGCTGGGATCGTTGAGCGAGTGGCGAGTGTTAGGGGGAGTTTGCTTTGGTTTTGAGTGGTGGAGGGGGAGGAGCTGGAGATGTTCAGGTGTATAGAAGTAAGAGTTTGCTGGCTATGTGTTCGAGGATGTTGAGTCCTTCTGTTGCGAAGGATATGGTTGATGTGGTTGAGGAACAGCAAGTATGTTTTCACCATCACTCATCGTCGGTTGTTGAGTTACTTTACTAATTCTCTTCTAGGCATCACTACAAGGAACAACAGCATAACCATCAGCGTGTTTGCTCAGACCTGCCGTCTTAACGTATCAGACGTCATCACCGCCTTCAAAGAGCCAGTCCCAGACTCGAAACCTGACGACAGAGAACAAAAGATTGCAACATGTCGAAAACAAGCTATGGTCTGGATGGCCCCAGAGTTAAAACGTCGAGCAACGGACACTCTCGTCACCGACTCGCTCGCCACTCGTTTCCCCGACGCCCCTTCTCAATTCGTTCAGCAGCTCCTAGCCGCCAAGGATCCCGCGCCCCTACCTGACGTCCCAGATCCGACAAATGCAGCATACCTCCAGTCTCTCAAGGGCTTCCATGCTCCTCTCAAGGACTACTGGTCCGGTGCAACTAGTACTTACTTCTTCCCTCCTGTGACGGCGGAGCATACTTTCATCGCCAACTCGGATAAGGGGAAAGTTGCCATCAGCGGTCAGGATTGTCCTTTTACGTCTATCCCTGGACCTGATGTGAAGCGTTTTACTACACCTCAGCACTTGCGACAGGGTAATGTGGCCCTAGTGGAATGGATGGATGGGTTGCAGTTGAAGAATCTGTCGTATTCTACATCAGGAGGGGAGGTGAGCTTGAAGGACAGCTTGGTTTGTCCTATCAAGCTTGCAAGTCTCGTTTGCCTGACTCTGGGCCACTTGGGACGATGTATGGACGTGGCTAAGATGTTGAGTCTTGAGCCGGAAGAGGTGGGCTTTCATCTTGAACGGGGGATTAACTTCTCCCGTTTAGATGTCGCTCAACTGCTCCGACTACGGTCCTTTGCTAATATTCGAACACAATTTTGGACATCTGGTCTGGCGATTTTGATAGCCTATGTCAAGTACCTTGAACGACTCTCGAACGGGTCAAAGACGGATACGATCGATAAGCTGGTGGCCGAGACTAAAAGACTGACTTCAATCTATGAGAGTGACATTTGCGCTTTCTTCACCACACGCTGGCCAACGGCAACATTCAAGGACCTCCCAAAACCTTCCTCGATGGGGACTTATATCCTCTCCAGCAACTAACCGAAGCCTGCTCCGTACCCAAGGACCTCGGTGTGCCTATTACGATACGGCATATATGGGCGCAACTACCCTGGGATCCAAAGAAATCAGAGGACTTTGAATTTGCAGAGGAATTAAAAACGGCACTATCATCCTGATCTGCATCTACAACTGGTGGTGCACTCGCACGAGCGAAGGAAGTCGTCATCACTAGACAACAACACGTATTGCAAGAATACATCATCCGTTTTCCAGTCTTTGTCAACCGTGGTATTATCACCACCGGCGATCTATCAGCAGATTTCCTCATGGACCTACAGATGGGTGCACCGATGGAGACATCACGAATCGGGCAGGCCATCGCCAGCGCACAATTCTTCGTCCAACGATCATTGCTAGGGCTGGAGAAGAAATAGGGTGTATCGACAACTGGAGTCGATCAATCTCTCTGGGCCTGGATGTGTAAATTTACACTCTGGCAAGCTAACCGCAAAGTCTTCCTCTATCCCGAGAATTGGGTCGACCCCTCCCTCCGAGACGACAAAACCCAGGCCTTTGAAGAGTTGGAGAGTAAGATGCTCTAAGCAAGTCTTGACTGGGATACCATAAGTCAATTACTCCGCGAGTATGTCTACGCTATCCATGAAGTCGCCGACCTCGAAGTGTTGAGCTATCTCTGGGAATCGACCAAGGACTATCGCGGGAGATATCACTTCTTTGGTCGGTCACGTGCGGCGCCTTTTGTGTTTAATTACAGGCAACTCGTGGTCATAGGAACGAATACGATGTTGATTAGTTGGAATTGGCTTTCGTGGAGTAAGATGGAGGGTGACATCCAGACGCATGAGGTTGGTGCTGATCAAAAGCCTCTTGCTCATCCGGGGAGCTATCTTCTTCCTGCGTTGTTCAAGAAGATGTTGTTCTTGTTCATTCCACAGATTGCGAGGCAAGCGAAGAAGGGAGAGGATCAAAAGAAGAGTTTGGAGGACCAAGCAAACAGTGTTGATGGGCCGTCCAAGGCGGAGGAGTTTTGGGAGATTAAGATGGCTTGGGTTGAGATGAGGATGGGAAGTGGCCTCCCAAGTATATCACTGCTACTGGGATTCATGTCGGTGTGGCTTCGGATGAGACTGCTTTACCTTCCATCTCTTCTTTTCGCTTCCGGTTGCAGAAGAAGAATCGAGGTTTGAGCCTTGCTATTCATGTGGACCGGTGGAAGACTTCTGGGAGCGGAGGTGAGTTTCAGATACTCGGACGTTTTGAGATTCAGGGTCTTCGACTGCGGTTGATCGACGGCACTGCTGGTTCAACGGTTGGGACGATACGGAGATGGCTTTTGGACGGATTACACACTCGAGTTCGACCGACAAGATCTCGACATTGAAGAGCCAAGTTGAAGCCTGCAAACTCGGTATCGATGAGAACCAACACTCACTCCTGGCGGTTCCTAGTCCAAAGAATATGACGGAGACGTCTGCACTCTCGTGGCTTCTGACCAACAATGTCTCTCAGTATCCGGGAGTCTTGGGACTGGTTGTTGAAAGAACTACACTGACGCAGGCTTCGCTATTCTTTGGCTCTCCTAGAATGACACTAGAGGGCAAAATCGACACCAGAAATAGGACGACAGTCTCGACGTCGACTATGACACATGACTCGGCCTTGTATCTCGTCGAGGAGATTGCCGACACGGAGGGTTATCACGCCATCTTTGACGCATTCGAGCACCTCCCCAAGGACATGGAGAACAGGTCTTTTGGATTGCAGAACAAAAAGTACAGGGAACTGGCCATGCCAGCCTCGATTTACAACTGGGAAATGGGCTTCCATGTCGTGTCTCTATTAATGGAACGACTTCTCGCCACACAGCAATTAGACCTCGCTATCGAAGTCTCTCGTCTCGTCTTTGACCCATCACGAGACGACGTGGAAACCGACAACAATAGCAGCAGACACCCCCAAATCACTCTCCAACCTCGACCGAAGCTGGCGTTTTATCCCCTTTAAATCAGCCGATCTCCGTCTCGGCGGGTCTGTACGACAGATTATACGAAATCTCAAACCCTTACCGGAGAGTCCCTCGAAGTACAAGACTGGAAAGCAAATCCCTTTTCCCCGCATGCAGTTGCTCGGCAACATCCAGCCGTGTATATGAAACGCTTCGTTATGAAGTGCATCGAGATCCTCATCGCAAGCGGTGACCAGTACTTCCGTCAACTATCCCCTGAGGCGATACCCATGGCTACGCAACGGTATACGGAGGCACTGACACTCTTTGGTCCGGCACCGGCTACGATTGTGTCACCTACGAGACCTGTCACCAAGCGTTATGATGACATAAAGTCTCTTGTGACGGACTTTGCTACGGCTACCATGAATATGGAGCTCGAGTTTCCGCATTTCATCAATACGCTTGTGAAGGGGAATTCTCCGCCTGCTGGGACTCGTGATGGGACATTGGGTTTTGTCCGACCAACGTATTTTAGTATTCCAGCGAACCCGGCCATGCAAGCGTTACGTGATCTCGTCGATGGAAGACTGTACAATATCCTTCACGGGTTGGATATTGATGGGAATCCACGTCGTTTGCCGCTGTTCGACCCGCCTCTGGATCCAGGACAATTGATAGCTGCTAGAGCGGGTGGCGCGAGTCTTGCGAGTTTGGCTGGGGGTAGGACGGAAGGACCCATGCCGAATTGTAGGGCCATGTTTCTTTTGCAAAAGGCGCAGGATTTGTGTGCCGAGTTGCGGTCACTTTCTGAGTCCTATCTTTCCATCAGGGAGCGGAGGGGTGCTGAGGCTATGGCTAGACTTCGTGCGAGACAGGAGACTGGCGTGTTATCACTTCTGAATGATGTTAGACAGCATCAAGTCTTGGAAGCGACATCAGCTCTGGAGACGTTGGCTGAGACACGCAAGTCACACATTATGCGGCTAGAGTACGTCCTCGCTTTGATCGGGGAGTCAACTGATATGGCTCCATCTTCCGACGGGGACTGGGTTGACCTTGACTTTGGCATTCGACAGCCAAATAAGGATGAGTTGCGGGTGAGTGCAGAGGAGTATCTCGAGTCTGCTGCGACGGAGTCGGCGGCGTATACGGATAAGATTGCTACGGGAATTCAGCAGAATGCTGGATTGCTCATGACGTTGCCGAGTCTTGCTTTACAGGCACAGCCGATGGGTGTTGGCATCTCGACGCAGATGGATGCGTCTATTATCGCCAAGGCTCTTCTTGTGGGCGCAAGTGTTATCCAGGCTGCGACACAGGCGAGTACGGATATGGCTAGTCGTGCTGCTCGAAAGGGACAGCTTGTTCGGCAACTGCAGGAACGGCGGATGTGTCTTCTTCTTCTCCGTCTCCCCCGGCGTCCTGGAATAGCTTGCTGACAGTCTCGAAGAGCTGGTCCCTCTCACCTTTGCCTAACCTGTGAGGCCCTGCGGCGAAGTGGCTCTTGATGTGCTCCAGCCGCACACTTTCAGCGCCTCTCTCATCTAACCCTGGGCCTCGTGTAAGATGATTGGTCCCCGGCCTTCAGCGTCGCACGGGCCCACCGCCCGTCAAAGGAAAATGGTAGGCAGGGCGCATTACAATACATGTATGCATACCCGGTTCGGGTGTCTCGCCTGAGGTTATCGCACGGATTGCGTTGACAATCGGACTGTCATTGTCCAGCGACAGTGTTGCTTCGGCGCTGTGAGGTCCGGCCGTCTGCGTGCTCGCGCGCCCAGCCCCATTGTTTTCCACGATATCTCGAAAAGACGGAGGCTCCACCTCATAAGACGCGCCGGCCACGGCCGCTGTCGTCATTAACATCAACGTCGAAGCTGCTGAGACTCGCGCCGTCGTCGTCAGCGCCCCTGGTGCGGTCAATTATCTCTCGTCCTGGACTTGGTGCTCTGCTTGCGGGTTCGGTCACCGTGGGTGGCGTGCAACGTTGGGGCCGCATTGGCAGCGTGAAATGACTCAGCAGCGCCTGCTTGCGTCAATTCTAGTGCACGAACACGGCGCTCCTCGTCGCTAATGACCTTCTTTGACCGGCCCATACCTGCTAAAAGTAATCAAATCTAAATGGGAGATTCTGTATTGCTACTCGGCATATATGAGTGTCGATGACTCGATCGGGTTCTCATGGCAGCAGCCTACTGCTTCTTGTTCTTCCATTCCGTGCATCTCCATTTTGCGCATGCTGCTCTAGCTTGACAAATTTGGTGCTGTTAGTATCCCGTCCTCGAATCAACCTGTCAAACACACTCACAAGACCGAACACAGCTGGACTTCCTACCTGCATTTTGCGCCGCACTACCCCGCTATGCATCCACGTTAACGGGATAAGGCTAAAAGACGATAAGCATGTAGAGGCATATGTAACCAGACGGAAAAGAAGGTTTATGGCTTATTAGACCATAGTAATGTAGCATTATTAGGTTTAGGCTTGCATGCCATCTCGCATCGAATCGCGCGAGGTTTAACTCGCGTTATAATACTGTATTCCTTTACTAGACATTCCTGCAACCAAGCCGTGAACCTTGTATAATATTTTAATTTGCGGCAACTAAAAGTAAATTTGATACGATAGTTACTGTACAGTATAAATTATTATAGTTTGACACCTTGAATTGAATCGCCCGCTATAAGTGACACCAATTTTGCGAGACCCCGCCCGTGTAAGTGTGCCCTAATCTTGCAGTAGCATCCTTGTCACATTCCTGCATGGTTTACTCCAAAGTTAATTTTTTCTTGATAGAAGGTTGGTGAAATAGGGGGCCAGAATATACTACTTTTGCAAAAGCCTCTGAAAATTTACTTTTACCGATATAAACCTAAGATACATATCTTAGATTCTGGACCAAATAGCCCTCTATAATTCTCTTTCAAGTTAAGATTTTTTGCTATACAAAGAGGACGCTGTAATTGAGCGGATTTTCATAATCAAGAGGATTTTTCATGGTCCGTGTGCCCTCACCTGTGCCTGCAGCTTAAAATTTACCCTCAACGAGGGACTTGTGGCCCTTCGTGCCCCTGCAGTTGGGGTACCAGCGCAAGCTTATTTTCACCAAGAAATGTGCACTAACCTTCTATAAAGAAAAAAAAATTACCTTTAGAGTAACTATGACCTAGAAATGACAGAGTTGTTGTTTAAAAGAGGAAGGCAATAGAAAAGGTTAGTGTATTGCAGTTATATTAGATTTAAACTTAAAATCTTGTGGAAGCTAAGTCTAAGTTACTGGAAACTCACGAGCTAACCTAATAAAAGAATTCCTAGTATTTTATTGGTTTATTTTTAAATTCTAATATATTAGATTTATACTGTAACTTCTAGACCGGACTATTCTAACTACCACAAGTTACTACGCGGTATCTAGAAATACATGCTCTTATATATAACGCTTTAATAATAGCAAAATTATTAGGCGTATATAATTAAAAGACTAATAAAGTATAAATATCTACTTGATCTCCCAATATTATCTTCTAAAATATTACATAGTCCGTACTATAAAATCCAATTTATTATACTACCTTACAGATCTCAAGCTCTTAAGCAAAAAATAATGCATCTCACAGACTTGTTCATTCATGCAACTGCCGCTCTAGGTGCCGTCGCTGATTACAACGGCAAAAAGCAAGGAGTAGGTTATCTTACCCCTCTAAAGAATACCGTTAGTAGTCTCACATAACGCAGGCAATAATCTTCGGAAAGGGAAAGCCTACAGATCCATATCAAGCAATTCACGATTTTGGCTACTGTGTGAAGCTTAAACCTCCTATGTAAGCCCAGGGAAGCTCTCGCAAAGTAATTATGCCCTTTTTGTTTTATTTTGTTTTATTAATAAAAGTGAATAGCGCGGCAAAGGTCCATGTAATTGGGATTACAGAGGGAGTGCGTTGTAAACTGTATTGGTAGGTACCTTCCTCCACACTTGGTATTGATTTTATTTATTAATATCGCGCAGGAGCGAGCGCTGCGTTGGCGAGTCGGTTGACTTTGGTCCCGGCTTTTCGGAGGTAAAAGAACCAGCCACTTACTCTCTATCTGTAGAATGCTTTGATTAAACTATCAACTTGACGTTATTATGGGATACGGTCCTCCTAGGAAGCTAAAGGAGTGGCCAAACTGAAGTGGCGAATGGCGGATTTTCTAGGGCGCCTTTGGACAGGTTTTCCCCCCATCCTGGAATAATTATGTATTATTGGGGTTTTCCCTGTACTATAATGCGAATGCAAAGGCTTTGTTTACCTATCAGCTTGTAATAATGTGTTGCACTTGAAAAGTGAAGTAAATCGGCGGTATAATTTTTGTGTACTATTTCTACGTTGTACCAAATTTATTTTCTAATACTTATTATTCAAGTTCATTACTTTGCCAGGTTCAGTCCGTGGGGCTGCACGACCTGGTCGGTAGATATATGCAGACTGAACTGAGGAAGAAATGTCAATGAGGCGGAAGTCATTCGGGGCTCGGGTCACACCCAGACTCAGAGGGGCAAACCACGCGCTGTCAATGTCCAAGAGTCTACGTAGAGTGGTCGTAAACCGTGCGAGAGATGCCTCGGACTTTCTTAAAGACAGCGGTGGCGCCGGCTGGTCCTACAAAATTCTCTGCCAGAGGTGAAAGTACGATGTAGGGTCGTATGAGCCGCTTGGTTTTGGAGGCGGAGAAGTTGCGTGATGATTTGAAGGTTTTGGGGGTTTAGGGGGAGGTTGTAATTAGTAAGGGGTTTGGGGATTTGGGGTTGACGTTTGCTGGCGCCGGAGAGGGTTAATATGATGGCGCCGAGGAGTTGTTGCTTGATTGTTCAGTATACGCTTCCTACGGGGGGGTGAAGGAGTGGGTGGAACGGTTAGGGTGTGAGGGATGAGGGGTTGGATGGAGGTTTCGAAGGCTGGGGAGGAGATGGTTGTTGTTAGGGTGAGGTGTGTAAAGATGTGAATGTTGTTGGTGTCTATGGTATAGAGGTGTTGGGATAAATGGCACGGGAGAGTATCCCAAACCGCCAACTACCAGTAACTTGGCAGCAACAAGGCTAATATGGTGCCATTGTTTGACAAGAAAGCTTCCACGGCTCTCACTGGATCTCATAACTTGGCTGGGTCATGCTGACTCCTTACAGTTGTAGGAGATCACCATGCAAGAGACATCATCGCGGGGTATCCATCCGTCTCGGACTCCTCGAAAGAGACGAAGACGCAAACAACTTGTACCCAGCGGGAAGCAGCACAGAGTGACAGGCAAGAGAAACACGTCTAACCTACCTACCTTTTCTAATTGCACTGGTCTCACACTCGCTCGCACACTGACAGGCTCAATGCCTCCTCACGACCTGGAACCCGCGTTTGTCTGCGGGTAATGCACTCACCCGCCATGGGCGATCAGTATTAGAGGCTCTCCGTGTCAGAAGGCGAGTCAACCTTCCAGATCACTTGTTATTAAAGCTTTCGGCGGGCCGGGTTACAGAGGAATAAGCCCTGGCTAGTTACGCAAGAGGCATCATCACGTCGCCATGCCAAAATCGCTACACAGCTAGCTGCTACCAAGCTCTGAAGCCATGGTGGGAATAGGCTTGACTTGCTCATTGAGTACGAGGTCCGGAGCAGCCATGACCATGAGGGACACATATCTTGACACCTTGTAAGTTTTTTTGCTATATGCTAGACATTCCCTTCGCATCCATGTCGTCAGGATCGAGAATGAACCACTTGCGTTCGGGGACAAGGCTCTTTCGCCCTATTTAGGCTTTTGTTCCGCTACAGAGCGAGCATCCTCTCCGCTGTCTGTAAGAAAGCGCTGTGGACTTGGTGCCGACTCTGCTGAGGGTGGGTGATGCGCATTGCCATTCTGCAGCTCATCTGGGAGTCCTGACTTGGACTCAGGCCCCTCTGATATCTTGACTGCCGAAATCCATCACTTGCTTCTGCTGCTCCGCGGTCGCCGCCCTCGGATGGGCTCACTAAAGGAGCAGGATTGGGCCCCATTTCCTCGGCCAACACGTCTTCAAGGGGTTGTGTGTGCCTCCACGACATCCCTGGCAATATGACCCATTTCCGGCGCCAGATTTCTCTTCTAATTCTTTTGCTACTTTATCTTTCTATAAGCCTGCGTGATGATGCCGGTCGAGGTTTGCTTTGTCTTGTATTCGGTCACGCTCTTTCGACACCTCGTAAATAAAGTGATGGAACCGGCGTGACGCTTCGCGTCCATGCTCACGTATTGCGCGTCGCTCAGCTTTCTGTTGCAGCTCCTCCTCACTCTTCGGCTGTCTTGGCTTCACCTTCTCTATTACGCCGGAGCATGAAGATTGAGATGCCTTGCCTTGAGATTCTGAGTTAGAATTAAACTCAAGTGGTTCTTCGTGCTTCCACATCCACCTGCTCTCTTGGTCTCACTTGAGTTCCAGATGCTCTGCTCGATCCAGCGCTTCATGATCGTCTCCCGCGCGAGCTTAAACATGGCGGCATCGGGCTCTATGGCCTGATCAGGTATTGAAGACATGATTGGAGCTTTTACGGAATATTGCAATAACGATTCGAAGTGCCCCTTAGTATATTTGATTGGAGAATTGGTTACACGGGAAAGACTCGTAGTATGCATGTATGAGCTAGTCTTCTCGCTCCTCGCGCCGTCGCTGTTCTTCACTCCGCAGGTCAGGGCTCATAAATCGGACGGTACGGCGTCATTGCTAAAACGATTTCTAGCATGGTTGGCCTGCCCAGTCAAATGCCAGCTTGGCAGCGGGAAATCGGACCGGGCCGCGCGGGAGGGGGCGGGAGCGAAACCGTAATTGGCTTGTTGCTAGGATAGGTCAGCTTTACCCCGCAATGTGACGTGCGCGTGTAACAAGCTCGTGAAGTGACGAAAACAAGCTTGCGACATTGAAACAACTACGGTCGGCCGCCGTATTTTACTCGGCTGCCGTGGAAAACGGATACCGCCGACACCGGTGCGACACATGCGTTAGAGCCACTCCCGTCCACTACGTAACCCCTAATTACCTGCAGGGTTCAGAACTTTTCATTCAGGCCAATGGCTAACTGAACATTGGATGCCTGCGACCGCATGGCCAACTCTCCACAAGCTGAATTACCTTGGCTGCTGGGCTCTGTCAGGCTCTATCATTTTTTTGATGACTTTTGCGTTGCATTTCGTCTACATGACATCTCCGTGATAATGTCGCGTCCATCGCCAAGCTCAGGTACTGGCATGTTGGCTTTGGCCAGATCCCTCACCATGTAGCACCGAGAAAATAGTGGGAGCGGTTCAGGAACGCCGAGTAGACTGCCCAACTCTTGGCGTAATAGGTCCACATAAGTGCTTTACATCCATCTGGAGATGCCAACACGGCCAAGCGTTGATGAAGCAATTGGACAGTTTAGTGATGGTTAAGTAGGGATCAAGGACTGAACGATGATGTTCATGACATGGGCACTACAGCGTAGTCGCTGGGCAACCGGATCTAAACCCTAAGTACTAATATATTTGAGACTCATCAACGATATATGAAACCGTATGAAACTAGACGCGTGGCTATACAGCACACTAGGGCAGACAGTCTAGATAGAAAATTTGACATGGTCCTCAAATCACCCATGTATTTGAAGTGCACCAGGCATTACTTGCCCGGCGTGCAAAATAGGGCCCTGCCAGCTTCGCCTGCCTGACACTTCGTGAAGAGAGCCTGGCAACTGTCTGTCAAACGCAGTCTCTTGGCCACCTCGATAGACTGCACGTTGGCAGTATATATTCTCCCTCCCGCATCCAGGGGGTGACCTTCAGGTTCCGTGCTTTGACAGACGCCAAATTCGCACTTTCCTCCCTTCTTACCCTGATCACATTGGCATGGAGCAGGTGTTGGTAGCCTCTCAACTACCTCCCTAATAGCCGCCTTGACTTCCTTTTCATACAGTTGCAGGGGTGTATTTCTGGCTTTCTCAACCTGCTCGTGGATGAGTCTTGTATTGCTCTCAAAGTCTGGCAGTGTTATGCCGAATATCGGCTTAGGCGTGGTCGCTGCCTTTAGCCATTCATCCAGGAACTGATTTTTAAACTCGCGCTCTAGCTTTATCGTGTGATTCAGAGCTATAGCCTCAAGCTTCGTTTGTAGCTGCTGTTTGCTGTCTGATATAACCGAACAGATTTGCCGTTTGAGCTCTGGTTGGACATGGGCGTGAATATCAGCCTCGATGCCTTGCGGGTTCGTTTTCGCAGTAGCATGCAGGTCGCCAGTAAGCTGCGACGCTTGATATAGAGTAAGTATCTGGTATGTCGCAAACTGACTTGTAGCATTGACAAAAAACTCATCTCCTTTAAGATGATTAATCAGCCTCTTGACATTCTGAAGCCATCCCTCTGCACCCTTTTGTGCAAGGAGATCCCCGTCCCAGAACTTGCTCCGCTCGTCCTCTGCTTTTATCCAGTTACTGATCTCTTCTCCTACCTGCATTACCAGGGCGATTTCCCAGAACCCAGAGACTAGTAGAGCATCTTCGGTAAAGCACAACGCAGTATGGGTGACGTCAACCTGCCCCCGTTGCTCATCATCTGCAAGCTGTACGGCGCAGCCAATGCCGGGCAAGATAGATGTTACCACCGCGGCCTTGTCCAAGACGCTGGCATCCTCGCTTGAGAACACATCCGCCACAGCCTTGCCGTAAAGCACAAGTCCACCAATAGCCAGGGCGCCCTCTCCGAGCTTACTGGCAAAGCCGGCGATTCTCTCAACCCGCGGCGCGCTAAACTCAGGCAGCCGTGCATTCAGCTCGCCATATAGCTTGTCCTGCTTTACCACACTACCATAGTTGAACTCTTCCAAGAGGCCATCAAAACTTTCTTTGGACTTTTCCTTAGCCACGGCTATCAGCTCGCCATCTTCCGGCTTTTCGACTGCAGGTTCGTTGTTTTCCTTTTCCTTGGGGTTAGGGTTGACGCAGGGCTCGCCCGCCCGTTTGCAGGGGACAGACTCTTGCCTTATAATTTTTCCCTCCTTGGCATCGTAATTGGCAATGTCGAATTCATCTGCCTCAAACTCGGGTTCGTCATCATCAAGAGCCCTAGTTTGTTGTTCTCCATATTCCAGGACTTTATCGGCAAAACCCGTCGTGTCAAAGTTCTCAATTATACCGTTTTCTTGTAACTTTTTTATGCCGCAAACCGCCCATGTAACGCAGCTGTCGCCGGGGTTTTCGAGTTTACTTGGCGCCTGGACCTGGGAAAGCAGCTCGTCCAGCTTATCGACAGAGACGGTGGGAGGCAGCGTGCCGACTTTAACACGTGCAAATATGACACGCTGCCTAAATGGGTTGATTGTCCTCTTCTCGTACTGGAATAATTTGATATTCTCCTCCTGGTTGATTACATGGAACAGGGTTGTTGTCTTCTCCGACTTCAGAGCGCCCTCGGGAGTAACGTGAATACCCCAGTGAAACGCTTCGATTCCTGCTGCTTTGCGGGCTTCGGCGTTAAGGCCCCGGGCGTAGAGGGCAATCAGAATATTACTGCTTGATTGCCGCTTACGTAGGAGTCTAGGAGAATAATTTAGTTTAAATAGTATATTATCAAAAGGGATAAAATAACGGACAAGTCAGATTCCTGAGTACCGACACCTGGATAGGGTGATAGATCCAAAGTTGGATCATGGCTAGTCGGCACACCTAGGGCGCAACTCTGCAGAGACCAGAGGAGGAAGTGAAGGAGTATAGAAAGAATTGTCATGTTGGCGACTGTTTACAAGACTTTGCGTGATGCCTGAGGTAGAAGGGCCATGTAGGCTTAGAGAAACTTGCTGATTTGGATGTAGCTCAAGCGCGGCTTTATATAGACTTCTTTCATGTTACCTTGTCTGTGAAACTATAGAAACTGCAAGCAGCGTATCGTTAAAGCCCTCAGGGATAGGGATAGGGGTCTTGTATCCGGGCGAGGCGAAGTAATATTCTTTATGCCAACCCTTGCACGCTAGAACTATACGTTGTGGGGGATAGAATTATTTGGCTGGGATTCATCAACACCAGCATATTACAACATTTAGGCAAAGCGGGATAAAAACTGGGGGACCGAGTAGAGTGAAAGGTGTTGCGACTTAGTCGTAGGCTGCAGCGTAGGTCGCAGGTCGGGCCGGCTGCATGAGCTACTCGGCGACACAGGCACGACGGCCAACGGATTAATACACTCATGTGTGTAATATCGCGAACCTTATAATTTATTGTTAATGCTAGCTGCTGGCGGCCCCCGGCAGGGTCCCCGAAGGGTATAGTTTAAAAAAGTCTAGTTATAAACCTTAAAAAAAATACTATAAGCATATAAATTTACACTTAATTTATGGTGTTGTAGTATTTACAAGGGTTAGCAAGGAAGAATAAAAGCCTCGCAGCCCACTTTTTAACATACCGCGCTAACTAGCAGCCGCAGCTAACCCAGCGCCAAAGCCGGCTCCCGGAGGACCCCCGGACGTTGTATATAATTCAAGGGTCCAGTCACATGTGCATTCTCGCCCGCTTTGCCTATGCCTAGGACAACTCGTTTATTGGCAGCAGGGTCTTGTATATTAATCCTGTTATATAAAGCAACTTATTGATTTTTTTTTTTTGCAGAACATATTAATTACCCATCCCGCATCTTTATCTTGATAACTATGCGGGCCAAACTCACAAAACAGGTAGCTGGCTACGATTATCTAACACCAACGCTCGCATCTCTGCTATTTCCCATGTGCGGTTGACAAGTATAGTAGTATTTTATATGAGCAACTATGCATTATAGACCAGACCGGGTCTAGGTGTCGAGATAGCATGGCCTTTCGGGAATACCGACATCTATTAATAATAGTGCGGGTGTAACTACGGTCGTGAACGGGATATCTTCCGAGTGGGAACAAGTTTTTTCAGCGCAAGCCGAGGAATATGTATTAAAAGTGGTTTTTTTTTTCTCGAACAGGCATCCTATACGAGAGCACAGGCCACGGCGAGGAGGGATCGGTTTTTATCCACGAGATTATTACCATTATCAGACGTCTGCACGGGTTCGGATTGGGCCGGCAGCGACTGCGAAAGTGGGCACACCCGTCAGGGGCATCAAAGTTAAAATCAATTAAGCGACGTTTAAAAGTCCGGACGTATACCCCACGATGTTACAGAAGCAGCTGTACTTAGTCATGCGCATGGGACCTGGGACCCCGTATATAATAGAGCCACGGGTATTGAACTCCAACATATCGCTGCTTGATTCACGCATGTTTTTTTTTACTCACAATGTGCATAAACACTAAGGGTCTTGGATGACACCTCTTGGCTCGAAATGACGCCACTAGCTAGGCAGAGATCATGCAACCAAGCCCTAATTTCCCCGGCCTATATCCTGCATATTGCTAGAGATAGTCCAAAGCTCTCCAATGTAGAGTCGGTCTATGCATGAGCGCTGTAACCCACATCGCTCCACAAGATAATACACACACATCCAGTCTGCCACACGCTTACCCGTTTTAATATATTCCTTTAATTTCCGTTAATTGTGGCCGATTAACGGAAATTATTAGATTTATTATTAATTATTTAAGCTTTTTAAAAAAACTATAAATATAGTTTTTCCGTAAATGCTTTGCTACCAAGTAATAAAAATACCCTTTCCATCTAATATAAAATGTGAGTCCAAGATCGTAGCTCGCGTAAGTTTAAATCAACGCAAAGTCTCTGCTAGTAATAGACTGTACAGGGCCTAGTAGTGACGCAACTCGTGAGTTGCCACATATGTCGTGGTATGCACTGGAAGATGCATGATATTATGACAGGAGCTTGTAGGGACACAATACAAGGGCTTGAAAAACACAGCTTCGAATTCAGCGAATAATTTTATTGAGTGTCAAAGGTCCTTGGTTTCATCCAAGGCCCTTGAGCCAGAATTCAGACAAAGCGGCGGTGAGCCCCTGAGGTCTGAGGTCGCAGACGCTGAGGCTTCCAACTAGGCCTTGGAGCCCTTGTGTAGCTATCGTCGTGGAATAGTCTCACCAAAAACCCTCCAAACTCCAACCTTATAGGCTCAGAAAGTACTCGAGCAGCTGGGTGTATTTTGGCGTACCTAGACCCGTAACAGGGTCCCAGCCCGATGCTGCCGAGAATCCAGTAGTGCCACAACCACCACCGCCGGGCTGATCTCCCTTTGTAATGTCGTTGAATGCCTTTTTGCTATACGCCTTGTACAGAGCCGGATTGATGAATCCGACAGGGCTCTTGCCGATATTCAGACGCTCCTCGTTGATGCGGTTAAAGATGGCGGCGACCAGAGGGGCGGACATGGATGTTCCGCCGATGGTGCCTTGGCTGCCGCCGACTACAACAACACCATTGTCTCCAATGGCCGAAATGTCGGGGTAGCCACGGCCGCCGCGGTTGTAAATGCCGCCTGAGCTGGGGAGCTTGCCGTCTGTTGTGTTGTAGGATTTATAGCTGGGCTTGTGCTCGGTCAGATACCTAGATGGGCGCCATAAGAGCTTAGCGTACATTGACTTGGCAGTTTCTGTTTTGACAATTCATAGGCGAGATACTCACTCAGAAACAGCACTGTGCTGCCACTCTGGAGTGGCAAAAATGTTGCTGAAGCCGCCACCAGAAGAGAAGCGCTCGGTTGCAACTTCGGAGTCCCCGACTTTGGCGCCCTTGGGGAGGTAGGTTGAACCAACGGCGGTGATGTACGGGCAGCCGCATAGACCGTCTGGGACAAAGATGTTTTGTTTGGGACCGAGGCAAGTGTTTTCGGCGACGCCGTAGTCGCCGCTGGCGACAAAGACGGACGTGCCCTGCAAGCCGTACTTCATCCACTCTGTGCATTGACGCTGCGCGAAGTCATGGTTAGGTTGTATTCTTGCCTCTGGTGCGATGCAGGCACGGCGACGAACCTTGTGAAAGCTGACCAACGACGGGTCTTCCGAGTCACCCCAGGAGACGGAGAGGACGTTGGGAGGAGTGAGATCATTGCACTCTTTTCCAGATCCCTCGTCACCGTTGTCGTGGCAATAGGGACCGGAAAACGCATCGAGAAAATCATTAAAGATGTAATTAAAGTTTTTGTAGCCTGCATTCCCAGGATACTGGATTTGATATAGGCTGGTTTTCTGCGGGTATATGATGGGAATTGCAATTTCGAAATCGAGGTCGGACTCGGTGCCGGCGGACGACGGCGGGTTGGGCGCAGTAGCACCGTTTATCAAGTGTATGATTGGGCCGGTACCCTTGGGGATTCCTGGTGCAGCTGCAGCGTAGAACTGGTTCAGATCTTCTTGAGAATAGACGTCGCCCTCCGTCTCGAATATGCCCAGGGTGTTGTTTGGGTTGGCCAGCTTGGCAGGTGGGATTTGATACAAGGCGCTGATGCAGCGCGGAGTAACATATGTGTCGCAATGATCCGTGCCGTCTATATTTGCTGGCGGGTTAGTATTGGATAAGGGGGGAACGAGTGACGAGTCTTTTCGCAGAGTATCACTACTAACTCGGGTCAATGGATGCGCCTTGAAGCTTGCTGCTGCTGGGGTGGGCAATTCTCGCAGTCTTTTTCTGCATCTGCGTGAATGAGATGCCCGGCATGACAAAGTCCACAAGAGAGGATACATCGTGAGGGAGACTGTATGCTTCGGTTCCAAAGTACACGCCATCCGTTGCGTTGTTGGTGTACAGGTAGAACTTGGTCTTGAGAAGGGACTCCAACTCGCTGGCCGTGGTGTTGAAATTGATCCAGCCCTTGCTGTTAGAGAGCGCGATTGAGCCAGCAGGGATGCCCGACGAAACCAGCCAGGTTTTGACTTGATTGATTGATTGCTCGCTTGGTGCAAACAGATCCACGATCTGCTGCGTTGTGAAATGCTGGCCATACTTTGGAGATGCTGGGTCAGACCTAGAGCAGGTTAGATGGAGTCTTCCAACAGAGCCGTGTTTTATGACTTACACTTGAAGAAGGTAGTCTTCAGCCTTTTCCAAGTTACTCTGCTTTAGAGCAATGCGTACGGGCACAACGGTAGAGCCAGAGGCTTGTTGTCCCTTTATCCATTGTTGATGTAAAGGTCCTCGCTGTTCGTGAACTTGGTACTGGTCAAACGGTACAGCTACAGTTGCAGGTACGAACCCGCCGAGGAGAATGAGGCCAAACTTCATTTCGGAAGCGGAGGATTGTATCCCTTGGCAGATGGAAAGTTTTCGATGGTGTAATCATCCTTAAGTGGCGGGAACTATCTGCGTATTTATATGTCAATCTTTCAAAGTCGGTATATATCGCAAGCACGAGTCCTTTCAGAACGCATAGCATACTGGCGGTTCATGACTCTGGATTATCGATCCTATCCAGATGGTATACCTGACGTTGCATCGTCCATTACCTCATTCCTATCTGAGATTCCGAACCGGCGGCCTGCCTAAAACACCACGACCACTCAGCGTGCGGCGCCAGATACGAAGACGCAAAGGCAATACAGCTGCCATTCTAGGCTAAGCCGTTGGCCCCGTAGGTCCGGGCACTGCAGCTCATGAGCTCACGGCTCTCGGAACCCGGCACATGGTGAGGCTGAGTCGCGTACGGAGTACATGATGTAAAATCGCGTCGCTGATGTAGATCGTCACTGGCTGGTTGTACAACGGAAAACAATGACTAAACAATGACTCGAGCCGTCTAACAATCCGGGTAGAGAGTCAATTATTCGCGCGTGTTCTGACTCGAGACTACCAGCCGAGCAACTTTGACCACGCTAACGAGGTGCGTCTCTGACACCATAACTGTAGCTTGTAGGATACTATTGTCGGGGTTGTGAGACCAGCCCGAGATGTAATCTGTCGAATGTTATGCAGCGCACGAAACGCTGGCAAGACACCTTGAGATCGGCTGACCGAAATACAGTTGCATCTCTCAAATATTATCCGAGATTTTGTTAAGCCGAGTATTTCCATTCGTCAACATAATTTGCGATCCCTCCATCTGTATTGTACGTCGTATGTGCATCCGAACCTGATTGTTTTCTGCATGGCAGGTCTATAGGTATTGAACTTGTAGAAGCTTATCAGGAATTGGACTTTCCCCATTAGGAAGGTGATGCACTTCCGCTGATGGAGAATCACTGGCGCTGAAACCATTTAGCTCCCAGTCGGTCTAGTCGTATCACGGATGCATCTGGGCATTTGACGAGGTTCCAATTTAAATAGCATAGCTGAGTGGAAGCAAGGTTAGCGAGAATCTGGTTATATTCAGTTATTGCTTTGAAAGAGATTGATTGGAGGTGTTTGATACCAGAACTTAGAAGTTCCGGTGGATGAATGGTGACGACTTTTTCACTAGCGGTGTGGTGGAAGGGAATTATGCCATTTCAAGCTCTTCTCCAGCTCAACAAAACATATATCCTCAGGAAGACACAGTTCAGGGAATCTCTCGGCCGGAAAGCGGCTCGTTTCTCCTGTCTTCTCATATCCTCGGCGCATATACCACTCAATGAGCGCCCTGCGCGTAGAAAGAGCATTCAACGAAAACTTGTCCACGCCCCAAGCCCGGCGGCAGTAGTCTTCGGCATGCTCAAGGACCCGTCTCCCCACGCCGCCCTGCTGGTGGGACGTATCGACGGCAATCATGGACAGGCGGCCCGCGCCGTCACGCTTTGATACCTCGATGGATGCGACAAGGGCCGCCGGGTCGCTTGCGTCGTGGGCCACGAGGGTGACAACGTCGGGATTAATGAGCTTCGATTGTACCTCGTCCATGGCGAGGCAGAAGTGGGACGCGAGCTCGGCGTTGCCAGTCCAATCTTGACGAGGGTCGCTTGCTCGAAAGGCGGATTCTACAAGGTGCTGGATCTGCGGAGCATCAGCGGCATCTGCGACGCGGAATTGGAGGGCGAGAGAGGCCATGGGGAGTGTCGAGTCCGTGGACGAGGATATACGGTCGAGCGGTGTTTGGCTTCATGTTTTGGCAAGTGGATATTTTTGTTGTTTAAATATATGCCTGCTTAGTCGTGACTCATCTGTCATTGCCGCCCTTGCTTGTCGCAATGTTGTGCCAAGGGCGCGAATGCTGACTGTTGTAGACTACTTTGGCAATTGTAATGCGTTGCAAGCAAGTCAACACGTACAAACTATACTGTCAGTCTCCAACAGTGTCTCAATTAAAGGCTTGCCATGACTCCAAAGACACGAGGTTAATATTGCCCACCGAATTGTTGCTCGACGTGACGCTGTGAGTGCCCATGGCCTCCCGCAGACAGTAGACAGAGGCCTGAGAGAACTGTGCGACCCTTGGGTCGTGATCGCTTCCGGAACCAGGGAATGGGTTGGCTAAAAATGAATATTGTGAGCCAAGTGTACAGCGGACATTGAGAACTCTTCCGTATTGCTGCAGATAGTGTGAGAAATGGCAGTCATTACAGTAATGTCACAGTGAAGGGTTTCAAAGCAACATGCCAATGCTTTGAGTCAGCACAAGCGCACATATAGAGTTGCTTTCTAGACTCGCATGCATATTGCATCAGTCCATCTCGTCAAGACGCGCGCACGCGAGAGATGCAACACATATGCAGTTCGGCCGATGGGGTTCAGGAAATATGCACGTCGTTTGCACTGTGCACCTGGGACTTCCCTCTGTTCAAAGATTGAGGCTGAGTTGGCTCGGATGTGTGTGATGCGACCGGCTCGAAAAGTAGCTCTGCTTTTCGTCTGGTAGCATATCACCTTTTAATTCTCTCATCAGATGGGACCTTGGACATTTAATGCATAAATAGTGAGATATTTCCGCACAACAGATGACTGAAATCATGTTAGTTTAACTCAGCAGACTGCTCTGTCCGCTCCATTATCCTGGTACTTGCTTGCTTGCGCCATTGCTTGCTGCAATGTCGGCGGAAATTGCACTGCTTGTCAGCAATGGCTGGCAAGTCGTGCAAAGGTGGTTTCAGGAACAACGTTCCTTTGCTGTCTGGTTTGCTGCTATTGTATGCTGGGCTTCTTGGTGGTGCTGGCGATTCATTATCACACCTCGAATTTCTACTCTGGAGGTAAAGGAATACCCCTACTGGATACCTGGTAAGTAATGGCGGTCCCAAGGGATGGTGTGAATATCGTTTGTCTTAACGTGCATATTTTTCGCAGTTCTTGGTAAGACCAAAATTCTATCCATCATTATATGCGGCTCGCGTCCTGACGAACTCGAGGTCATGGCCTATCATTCATATATAACTCGCAGAAACTGTTCAATACAGCGAGGTTAGCAAATATGAATGGAATCTTAAAGTTCTCAAAGAACCGAAGAGACTGATGATACTCAAAAGGCAGCACTTTCACAACACCAATGAGCCATTGCAGCTCACCTTGTTTGGAACCAGCGTGTACTTTGTCAGCCGGGCTGAGGATGTGAGTGAGGTATATCGTAACACGCGTACATTCACCTTTGATGAGTTTTACCATCATATATTCATCAGCATGGGAACCTCTGGGGCAAGTGTGCAACAAATCTTCGCACAACTACCAGCGAGGATCAAAGATCCTGAAAACACACAGGGTAAGCCAGTCGCCAAGCTTGCGAAGGAATTGCAGATCGCGCAACTGCAGCCAGGCCCCGGACTCGACGCGCTCGAGCGCGCCCAGCTTGCTTACTTGGAGTGCCACGTACAACCTGATGCTGTGCTCGAAAGCCGTTATCGATACCCAGACCTCCTTGGAGGAGAGGTGCCCAGTCAAACGGGATCTGTCGAGATGTCTCTTTGGAATTGGTGTGCGGATCTGCATGTGCGAGCCGCTCAGAGGGCCTTCTTTGGCAGCGCCCTTGACCGCCTTGATCCTGACTTACCCCAGAAGTTTCTGGAGTTTGACGATCTGAGCTGGAAGCTTCTCTATCAATTCCCCATTTTTCTGGCCCGGGATACGATTGCAAAGCGTGATTACCTGAGAACAGCTCTAAAAGCCTTCTATAACCTTCCAGGGGAGATGCGAAACGATGCGGAGGGCTGGGCTCTTGACTCGACTGAGGATAGGCTGCGTGCTATAGGCATTCCAATCGAAGACATAGCTTCTATTGCGCTCATTCTTTACTGGGGGTTCGTCTTGTTTCCGTTCTTCACGTCTTCCTCACCGCCCTGGCTCTGACCAGAACATGGCTGATTGTGAAATGAAGTGCCAATACAAACACTCGAAAAGCTGCATTCTGGTTGATTTGCCACCTTCTTTCCAATCCATCACTTATCGACCCAATCCGTACTGAGACGGCTGGCGCATTCGGGCCCGAAGGCACCATCACGGACCTTGTCCATCTCCATCGGCACTGCCATCAACTCGATGCGATGTGGAATGAGACTCTACGCCTAACAGGCGTCGCGGCGTCTATGCGTACTGTGTCGGCCGATACAGTACTTGGCGGTCGCATGCTGCGAGCTGGCAATCCCCTGATTATTCCATATCGTCAGCTCCATCACGACAAAGGCATCTTTGGCGACGACATCATGACTTTTCGCCCGGAACGGTTTCTCAATACTAAACCGAAGAAAGACAAGCGGGTACGCTTGGAGCATTTCCGTCCCTTTGGCGGCGGCAGCACAATCTGCCCGGGTCGTTTCATCACCAAAAGGGTTGTCATGATCCTTGTGGCGCTTCTTCTAAGACGCTTCGACATATCTATGGCCGGAGGGTCCCAGGACATGCCTCAAGCGGATGACTGGAGTCCTTTCTTGGGCATTGCAGGCGTCAAACCTGGCCATGATATGCGCATCAGACTGACACCGAGAAAGGCCGCGGCCACATGACCAAATGCTATGGACTCCAGTGGAAATTGGAATAAAAGGCTGCAGGGCAAAATGCCGTGAAGGGTAAAGATGATAATCCAGAAGTGCTAGCGCTTATCATTCAACGAATACACTTGTAGGCTCTAAGCTGGAAGAATTCCGATTAATATGAGTGAAGACAAACTGGCAAGTGCACGTACAGAGAAGAAGGGGGAGTTATTGCTCTATCAATTCTTATCCTCCCTGAGAATATAACCCAAAATGACACTAGATCTTGCTAAAGAAAATAGGACTTACACTTTCTGCATCTGATCTTCTGTACTCATCCGGTGTATCATGCTCAGCCACGCTCGTCTCATCGACTGCGGGTCCGATTTTTCTCAAATCCGTGAGATGAGACGTCAATCTCTTCTCAATGTAAATGACATTCGAGGCAGAAATCAACGTCTTGGCAAATCTGGCAGGGATATCTATTGCCATTCAGAAGCTATCTATAGACTATTAGTAGGGTATTATACTGCCATATGATTCGTCGACTTTGGTGCACGGGATGGAGCACAGTACATACTGATTCGCAACAAGCACAAGACGCCTAATCATGTCGATACCATTTCTTCGAGGAGATGGCGCATTGTTTGAGCTAGTTCGTTTCTCTTTCAGACTCGACCTGGTTGAGCCCCCAGTGGTTAAAAAGCTCTGTAATCTTTTCGCCACAGGCGTGGAAAATAATAGCAGGCTGATTGAGCCCAACGCTTTCCTGATCACGAGGGTATCCCGGAGGAAATCGGCCATGGGGTAAAGTCGTTAGAGACCATATTCCTTTGTTATGGTCTGCTTATCGAGAACTCGGCGTTTTTGAAAGCATAGGACAACCGTGCTCAGCCCCTAGACATACAATGCTCGAAGCGAACAGAGGACCGAAGGAAAAATAGACCGAGCGAGCCGCCTTTCGGAATCGTGGACCCCGCCTAAAAGATTCGATGAACAGGGCTCAGGAGATTTGATGGTTCCAAGCAAAAGCAAAGCTTCAATGGGGGTAATTCAAGCCAGTCTCGTGGACTGAAGTAGGATTACACCGCAAGTCAGCATGCTGGATAGTTGGGAGACGGCGGAAAATATTCAACACACTAGATTCCGGAATGTTCCCGTATTTAATCAACGTGGTAATATGTCGTCTTAAATTTTGTTGTCCCTGATCAAATTGCGTACTTGTGTAGTTTAGGCTGGGCTCGTTGTCTTGGTTAACCCGATGTGAAGCTGTAATGGTTTGTGTTTATCGTAGCCATCGAAAGTGAAGTGAATCACAAGCTCCATCCTCTTTCTTGGACTCGTTCTCCTATTCCTGGCAGAAAATCAGGAGAGCGTCAGATGCTTCAGGACTACAAAGCTTCGGTGCTACGGGACCTCGTGTTTTTCCGCTTGGCGTAGACATGGTCTACTAGTATCCAGCTGAAAAGAGTTCTTTTTGACCATGACTGATCAAATAAAACTTGGGCTGGGGGCGAAGGAGGATGCAAGACTTGAAGTCGCGGGTTCTCGATGACATCTGTCGAGGAACCTGTTGCACGTGAGTCTCTAGATGCTCTAAAAAGAATGCCTTGGTGAGTATAAACTTGTGACTCTTTTGACCATCCCGGTGATGATCTCTTTGACTTCTTGCGACGACTATCATTATTCGTGAGACGGAGGGGCTATTCATGGAAGGTGCCCACTGCTCAGGGTCCGACTGAACTTGATTGAGGGCTACATGTGTTTAAAAGAGCGTTCCAAGAGCTCACAGAAAAGCGACGTGCAATTCTTGTTTCGACAAATCTGTCGTTAACCGCGGTGACTGCGACCGCCAATACATCGATAGAGCGCAGAAGTGGAAGAATCATGTGCCCCCTTTCTTTGGAAAGCCATTGGGTTACTTGACTCACAATCCCACAGTGAGCAGTTGCGCGATAAAGGTAATCAGGGAATATCTTCAACCCTTTCATTATTCGTTGCTTTGCTGTCACCAAATAGAAGTGACGCGCTCAAGAATGAGTTGGCGGACAAGCCGATGTCTCGACATTTGTCTCGATCGAGGGCAGCGAGCGCGACAGCCTGCAACCACTTGAAGCACAGGCCCAATCGTCCGACATGGGTATAAATCATCTTACATTATTCATGACGCTTCCTTCCAGCTAATGACCCGCCCATATAATCGAAGCCGGGGGGCCCTAGGCAAAGAATCAGCTCCGATGGTGAGGAACAAGATTTTTGACGTTCCAGGGACTTGGCTAGCAAGTTGAGCACAAGGACTCTGACGGCGTTGTAGGAGCCATGGCCCTGAGCCACGTCATCCAACGTAAATTCAACGGCGACTTTGGTGGCGCAAGCTGGCAGACAGTCGTCTAGAACGGATAAGAACCATTCGCGATGGGTGAAAACACATGCATCGGGGCCATTTTTGACTGCAAAAGAATAAATAATGACCAAACTACGAGTTCGGTTCGGTTTGAGAAGCGCAGGAAGAGCTCTTGGGGGGCTTTTTTTAGAACTCACTCCAGCTGCGGACCTGAATGCTCTCCCTCCCAGCTCGGCGGAGAGGACATGCTCGACAACAACCTGTTGAAACGTTTGAGAGAATCGTGTTGGCGAAGGTGATGAGGATATTGACAGTAATGATGGGAACCAATCGAGAGGGGAAATGCTGGGGTCATGGGAGCCTAAGCTGATTACATCTATTCCCTGTTGTGATGGATGGCATCTGTGTCCGGTAAGGAAAGTGCGTACAAGCAGGGCAAGTGCGGCCAGGCAGCAGTACTACTGTGCACGGAACTGCCAATGGCAAAGAATCGCAAATCAAGAAATGCAAGAAGACGCATAATAACCAAGGATGCTGCACCGCAACGCAGAGGTATATCAGGACCCCTCTGTGTGCAACAACGATCGTTGGCTGGGATCAAATGCTTCCGAACTTGACCGTTGGCTCTGAGCCTTTCCAAGCGGTGGACAAACGTCAAGTATGTTGGCATGCGGTAATTCCCCCCTTGTTTGACAGCGGCAGCGCCATGCCCGCGTCCGTCAGCAGCATCGTTAGCCGTGAAACGATCGACACTCCTCCTTTGATCTCGTTTTCGTATGGAGAAAAGGCTGACGTCGCATGCTACAGGACTACACGTGCCTTGTCAAAGTTTGACAAACTACTCAAGTTTGGAAGCTGTAGGGTAGCTCTTGGAATGTCGTGTTTTTGGTTCCTTGTTGCGGAAAAGCCTTCCAACTTTGCTTCTTCAATGAGCCCACGAATACTATACTACCATAGTCACAAGCATCACATAATTGAAACTCAATTTATTATTAGTCTAGATGACCTTTTATTACTCCTCTTAGCAGGAGTTTTAATGCCAGTACGCATCTTGTTGCATCATCGCGATCCTGCCGTGTTGGTGTTAAGAGCTGTGGGCACTCTCCTACTTCATACCACTAGGTACGTACCTAGATCTAGTCGCTTGACCTTCCTCGCAAACTTGATCTTCTACCTGACCTCGCACATTCAATCCCACAACAGCGTCATCAAACCGCGCCACAGGTAAAAGGCTTGCTGGAAGATGCGAGGGGGCAAAAGATGTCAGCATCGTCTCCACTGGCCCACAGCGGAGAGATTGCCAAGTTCACCAGGTTGCACAAATACGCCTAGGCCAGAGATGACATCGGTCGAAACTTGGCCTATTTGCGTTCGTATACGGGCTGCTAATTAATTGAGCTGCGTTGGCTCCAAGAGGCAGCAGAGTACCAGAATATGGACGTCACGATCAATATCGACGCGATCAGATAGGGGCTGTCATTTATCACGCCATATCTTTTCCCCTGACGGAGCAGAATGTGGATTCAGGTGAACGCGTCGCGTCTCTTCGAGTTTTCTCAGGTATTACTGCAGGCAACGACCATTACATGTCAATGTATGCATGTGGCCCAGATTCCGACATCAATGCCACGGGGGACGCGGCTATTTGCGCAAAATAACGTGCGACGTAACGGCCGTGGCAATTGCTTCCTTGCCAGGCTGCTTGATTGGCACAGTTACAAGGCTCGGCCGTTCCATGCCAGGTTCAATGGTGCCGAAAGACATCGTTCATCTTCAACTCTGCAGAGGTGGTTGTCCCAGCCGCAGGATGCTGGAGACCAGAAAAGAAGCAGCAAAAGCTCAACGCTGCATCGCCAGAGCCACCAACCGAGGAAGGCTGGCCTTGTGCCACTATTAAGATGTACGGAATTCGGGCCAATGGGCCAGGTATTGATTGCAAACGGGAGGCTGAAGAAGACTGAACTTGTTACGAGAGTGAGCATGCAACTCCTTCAAAATCACTCCGTAAGCTAACAAGCTGGGCCGTCAGTACGGGCTGCTCCCCCGTGACATGCGCAAGATTGATACATCAAACTTGCCCCATATCGACATACGGCCTACAGTTATACTACTGAATCTCCTATACCTAAAGGTCTTAATTAAACGAGATCGCGTTTTGCTTTTCGACATGGACGGCACACGCACGTCAAGCGTTCAAGCCTCGTTTGTGGAAGACCTTCAAACCAAGATGCGACCAGACCGTACTGATGGAGTTGCACCTCCACCATATGAGTTTGAAGTTCTAGATGCAGTTCTTAATGCGGTTGTTATCGAATTAGGGAATGAATTGGAATCTGTGCGTACTCCAGTCATCAGTCTTCTCGCAGAACTCGAGGAGAACATCGATCGACAGAAGCTCCGTATGCTACTGAAGCTGTCCAAGCAGGCCAGTGCGTTTGAACACAAGGCAAAACTTGTGCGGACAGTCTTAGATGACATCCTTGAGAGCAACGACAGCCTTTCTGCCTTGTATTTAACGGACAACGCTCAGAATGTCCATGGGCCTGAGGACCTTTCTGAGGTGGAGTCCATGTTGGAATCGTACTACGCTATATGCGATGAAATTGCACAGGATGCACAGAGCTTGACCTCAATGATCAAGAATACGGATGACATGTAAGCGTTCAATTCAGATTAACACCCAGTCTCGGGTCACACTGACGACAGCATGTCAGCGTGCAAACAATTTTAGATACAAACCGGAATTCGCTCATGCTTCTGCATTTGAAGTTCATCTCCTGTACACTGGCCCTGGGAACAGGCACATTTGTGGCTTCATTTTATGGAATGAACATCCAGAATGTGCTTACCGAGGCAGATTTGGGCTTCGTGGTGGTGTCAGCAGGTTCCGTTACGTGTATTGCCGGCGCCGGTTGGTTTGGCTTGAGAATCGTTGGAAATCTCAAACGAGTCACAATGAAGCGCAACAAAGGGTTTCTTGGCTAAACCTGGTACTGAATTGCAGCATGAGGTATACAGACGCACAAGACAACATCTTGAAGGGGAAACATGCGACCTCATGTCGAGAGAAAATCAAGGTGTCCTTATCCGAGCGTGCTTATTCAGGAATACCCATCCCTCCAAGAACCATGGTCTGCAAGACTGCAACAACTCTATTTTCTTGCTACCCGGACCCAGTCGCCCTCACGTATTTTTCGCATCAATGCCAAGCTCAACCCTTGCCTCTACGACAAGTCTGGGTTCCACAAACAAGTTGAGGCCACTCTGGCAAGCGGGAGCCTCAACATGAAGCCGGCCATCTAAGCCTGGCAATAACTTTGTTGGCTGTTAGCGCAATTAACAAATTTAACGATTGAATAGAATAGAGTAAAGCCGTGGGAAATCATAATGGCAAACCCGTCCCAATATCCTCGCTCCGGGCGGAGGATCCTAATCTCACCAGACACTATTATATTATTTTAAGTACTTAGTACTAGCTTTGTTCCACCACAATCCGTGGGGCAGCAGGGCCCCTATAAGGTGCTCGACTTTTAAAGGGATACTTTCGGGCTATATCTCGTATTGCTCCGTAAATTTTACTCTCATTAATTCTATATTAATAGTCTATTAGTAGGCAGAAGCTGTTATCCACAACACCCTGGCGTCCAGCGGTGCCTGGGGACGGTATTTAGGACAATCATTACGGAATACGACGACTAATCTTGGATCTTTATGCAACTTTTACAACCACATACAACCAACGTCCATTAAATAGTGGAGGAGCAGCGCCTTATGATGCCTCAATAACTCGACCTCTTGGCATCAAATTACTTCCGTGTTTATTGGCTGCTTTTAGAATTCCGAGTCATTCACTTCGTACAAGCCAAAGTGCAAAGAAATATATGTATTGAACAAACGCACTTTTACTTCACAGTCATCCCACCATGGTTTGTTGCTATCCTTCTCTACCTCATGGACTTCGATATCGAAAATGCTGGTCCTTTGCTCTCGACCCAAGTTTCATATTCAACTATTACTGCTGTGTGTTCCTGTTTTCATAATCATCTGTATTGTCTGGCAAACTCTCCGTGTGCATGACACGCCAAGCGCATATAATGCATATGTCTTCTACGCCGACAGCGACGAATATGCCTGCTCAGTGCTGGTTAACGCGCACATCCTGCAGCATTTAATGGGCACAAGATATCGCATTTTCGCCATTATATCTGATGGTGTTTCCCGAGCCATGCAAGACGCTCTGGCTGCGAAAAATGTAAACATGATCCATGAAACGCCTCTGCCACTTCACGCAAACAGCGTCTCATACTACAAGGGATGTCTCTTAAAACTAGCGGCCTTTAAATTGCACGAATACGATTCTTCGATCCGGAGATTGCTGGCGCTCGACGCCGACCAGCTAATACTTCAAAACCTGGACAAGATTTTCGACACTCAAATGACGGATTTTATGGCTCCAACCGCTTATTGGATTAGCAATGCTACCATCACCAGCACTTGCATGTTGATCCAGCCAGGCAAACCGATGTGGGATAGGGTCAAGGGCGCTGCGACAAGTATAGAGTCTGACAAGTACGACATGGACCTTATCAACGACCTATTCGCCGAGCGAGGAGATCGATTGAGCGAGCGATACGTGACGCTCAATAGCCACTGGGAAGATTGGAACATTCCCCTGTGGATGGGCCCTAGGTCTAATGGCAATGCGACAGACGAACAACTACGGGCTTTGTATGACCAGGCGGCTATTATTCACTTCACTGCCGCTGGCAAGCCATGGATGCACGACACTCAGACGCTGCGGGAGCAGAAACCGGACGCGCATCCTCTCATGGTAGAACAGTGGGCTAGATGGCGATCGTTGGCATTGCAGAATTGCCCAGCAGGAATCCTGGACCATGTGTAACAAGTTCAGCCCTTGGGGTGTGTGTGGCTGGCTGCCTTGGTATATTTCTCGACATCTTCTCGCAATACTGAGCTTGCGGAAATGATCTTTTTGTAACACCTACGAGCCCGTCACCTGGCGAATATTAGGACAAAAAAAAAAAAAAGAAGAACAAGAAGCAAAACTCTCCATAAATAGTGTTGGTACCGGGAATACCAAATTCTGGGCCCAGTCAACAGACTGGTCGACTCTTGGATACAAAATATTTTCTCCCATCGGCAACAAGACAAGCTCAACCACGATATTTTCTCGGGGATCAAACGTGTCTTATCGTGCACACGGGCAATGTAACCTTGTAGGATGTACGGAGTACAATTTCACACTGGTGCCAAGGCTGCATGTCGGCAGCATCTCTCAAGGACTAGAATAAAGAACCAGGGAGGATGGCCACGATCTGGAGTCACAAAGTCCAAGGCAGAGATCATTCGGCTATCATGTCCCTCCCCGTACGACAGTATCAAAACATCCTCACGTAATGCTCCCCTGGCGCTACCCTGAAATGGAATTTCCCGTAAAGGCACAGCCCGATTTCACCTCGACGGGAAAGCCGATCCCGCCTCCGCTTCCAACCCCGATTGGCCTTGCTAGCGCATGTTCCCGAATCTGTCACTCCTAAGCGAGTGCGAAGGAAGCCACAGCTGTCAGCAAGACAGTGAGAAGTGAGAGTGAGACCAAAGGTGCCGTCGACGAGCCAACAGTATGTATCAATAGTATTCAGCTGATGTGGTGCCCAATTGAAGCTTTGTGTAGCCGCAAAGCTGTCGCCGCGCTTCCCCACTCCCCCTCCACCGTGAAGATGCTCCAGATGCTCCAGATGTCGGTGTTTGGTCATGATTGGGCAGGCTTAAGCGATTGCGAATAGGTTTCTGGAAAGTTGCCGGGCCTTGTGCCCGAGGCGAGTAAGCACATCACTTTTTTTTTATTATTCCCGGCGGCCTGAACTATTCCGTGCCCCTTAAAGATGCTACTATACCAGATAGAACACGAATATGCTTTCACATGGCACAAAAACAAAGCAATAAAGACTTCATTTTTCGACATTATTTGTTTCACCTCGGTCCGTTTATTCTCGTAGCACATGTCTCAACACGGCCGGCATGAAGGACGAGCCTCTGCCCATTCCTTTACATCGACAGTCCAGACGGAGAGCACCAAGCCGCCGCCAATCCCTCTAGGACGCTTCTGGATCCTATGCGTCGGGTAAGCAAAGTGCTTCCCATCACAACGAAAAGAACTAACCGCAAAAACAAATACAATTGTAGAGTATGTCTGGGCCTCTTTCTCTCCATGGTGGACACGTCCATCGTCGCCACATGCCTCTACGCCGTGGGCACCGAGTTCCGTGACCTCGACAGCGTCAACTGGGTCGCTCTCTCCTACACCCTCGCGTACATGGGATTTTCTGTCGTCTTCTCTCGCATATCAGACATTACCGGGCGCCGAGATGCCTTTGTCGTCGCGTACGTCGTCTTCGTGGCCTTCTCGCTGGCATGCGGGTTCGCCCGGACCTTGCATCAGCTCATTGCGTTTCGGGCGCTTCAGGGCATAGGCGGCTCGGGGCTGTATTCCCTGTCCATGGTCATGCTGTCGGAGCTCAGTCCGGCTCATTTGAGGCAGTATATTGCCGCCATGATTGGCCTGGTTGTTGCCATGTCCGGGGTGTTGGGCCCGGTTCTGGGCGGCCTGCTGGCAAGCTACACGAGCTGGAGATGGGTTTTCTGGATCAAGCATGTCTCTTCGTCATCTGGCTGAACACGGGACCTACCGCTGACATGTGTATATAGTGGTCCCATCGGGGCGGCATCGTTGGCCACGTTCGTCGTCAGCTGGCCGAATCGGAGACACCTCCCGCATCATGAAAGGCACTCGTGGAAACAACTGGACTGCCCTGGAGCTTTCCTCACCGTTGCCGCTGCCGTTCTTGTCGTCTTTTCTTTCCAGAACGCAGGGCAAACATCCGGAAGCGCGTCCCACGGCAACAGCTGGGGCTCGGCCGTCTTCATTGCACCCCTTGTCGTGGGCGTCGTATGCTGGGGTGCCTTGATGCTCTGGGAATACGGCGTTGAATACCGCCTGTCGAGACGGTTCATCCCAGTCCTGCCTCTTGGAATATTTCGCAGCGTCGTGTATACCTCTGGGGTGATAAACACCCTCCTCCTGGGGCTGCCATACTTGCTCTTGATCTATATTGTTCCGCTGAGGATCCAAATCGTCGGGGTCAAATCTGCTCTGTTGGCTGGTGTTATGCTGTTGCCAATGCTGGTTGCTGTTGCTCTGGGCAGCCTTGTCAGTGGCGCAGTCAACTCAAAGACGCCGGTCATTACGGAAACACTATTAGCAGGCTCGTGTTTAATGGTATTGGGCTGTGGACTGTTGACGACATTGTCCACCCAGGAGCTTGATGGCGCGAAGCTGCTGGGGTTCATTGCGCTATGTGGAATGGGCTTCGGCCTCACGGTGTCGTCAAGCACAATGATTGCATCTATCAAGGTGGCGCCAAAGCATTACGGTAAGTAGCGGCGTGTATCAACTTATCCAATGAGTCAAGTTGTTGTTGCTAATAGTAACTAGCACCGGCTCAGGGCATTCTTGCTCAACTGCGTATATTTGGCGGCAGTTTGGGAATCGCCGCGTCGACAGCGATACTCCGGACCAAGACACAGGGAGGCCTGCTGCCTGTCGGGAAACGAGAGTCCCAGGCGCCTGGTTCACAAAGCCAGTCGGTCAAGATGGCATTTGCAGAGGCATTTCGAACGGACATGATGGTAGCAACGGCAGTTTCGGGAGCTGCAGTGATACTAGCACTTGTCGCGTGCTGGCTGCGCCGCAACAATCAGTCTGAACCTGAGGGGCCCCGGACAAGCCCGGAAAGAAGGACGGGCGATGAGAATGAATGATGTGGAAGCATGACGAGGTATGATGAATGCCACTATTCGTTTTGGTGCTAGTCGGTGACATTTATAACGGCGTAGGGTCACGATTGAAATAATGATGGCGTCAATAAGATATTAGGGTAACTAGTACGATTATTTGTGCTCCTAGGCTCCATGTCTTCATTATGACGGTCTGATTTGTGCTAGCACAAAATAAACAGCACAGAGACAACTCACATTACCGGCCTGGCCTTTTACTCGTGAGACTGAGGTCTGAACGGCGCCCAATCCAGCGGCAATCTCTCGCCCATCCAAATCGCGCGCTCCGTGTGATCCCGCAACTCGACCTCGTTGGCCGCCTCACCTTGGTGCACAGTAGTGTTGGGGTGAATAAGCGCAGACAAGGGTCCGCGCCAAATGGCGAGCCACGCGACAAAGGCCCCGAACTGCGCGGGCGTAAAGACGTTGACCTCGAACATGGCCACCGGGTGAGGCCCGACGGGGACATCCCAGAATTTGTACACTCTCAGCTCCGGGACTTGGGAGTTTGCCGTCAGCACGACCAAGACGTTGCGTGCATACCAAGTACTTATAGGTATATATGCACATGCAGGGTGCTGACTTACACTCGCGTCGAATGCGCTCCCAAAGCTCGCGTGCGTACTTGGCTTGCTCCGGGTTCTGCTGCAAGTAATACACATGTATGTCACTGCGCGCATGTCAGTCGCACCATGACAGGAAGACGCCGGGTCGAGGGGAACGGCATGGAGGGATTCCGACGCACAAGCCACCGCGGCGGTCCGTTTTCAAGGGCCATGCGAAGCTGCGGTAGGCCTCGCTCAGTCCGTCCCGTGGAGGGTTCACGAGGCTCTTCCCGTCGTCGTTTGTGTCGGTGGGCAGCGGCGGCGCATCTTCAAAGCCGGCGAGCGGCGAGGCGTACGTGTAGTCCCAGGGATTGGGCATTTTGGGGAGGGTATCAGTCTTGTCGTTCCTTTGTTCTGGCGCTCTGGCGATGGAACAGGAGCAGGAGATGGACAAGGCGAGGCGAGCATGTCGACGCGATGGCGTGCTGATTGATAAAGCCGGCATCGCGACATGCATCAACCCTGATATGTCAGCGACCGCCAAGCCCCCGCATGAATCACGGCCATCCTGGGCCAAGGCCCCGCTGCATTGATGCAGGTCATTTGATAAATGACGCTTCCAGCCGAATGGCTTTTGTGGCAATTGATGGCTGTATTAGGGCTGCGCCGGCGACTGGAGCTCGGCTTCGGCTTACCAACAGCGCCATGGCGTCATATCTTCACGCAGCTACTCAGTCATGTTGCTGCCGAGCACAGATGTACAGAGTAGTTGGACGGGTTGGTCATCCAGACACAGCACAAAACACTTCATCAACCCGTCTGGCCAACGGTCACTCCACATCCATCAAGGTCGTGCTACGCCGGCTTCCATCTTCACTTCAAGCCTCATAGCATCGGCGGCAAATGCTTTCATGAATCACGGTAAATAGAGTCGCGAACACATCCGCCCAAGCTACATATCCTCATGGGCCTCTGCTTCCTTCAACCGAGTGCCTCTTCAAACAATCGACGCCGGCGCCTCCGCCCCCAAGACCAGCTCCATGTCCGGATCCGACTTCTTCATGGCCCTCTGATAAGCCTCCCGCCTGCTCACGCGCTCAATATAACCCAATATGCCAGGGTACCCGTCCAGACTATACGGCGCCCAGTACCTCATCGTCGTCAACGAAAACATGAGCATGACGTCGGCCGCAGAAAACTGCTCGCCCGCAAGCCACTTGTGACTCCCCAGGCGCTTGTTCAACTCGCCCAGCGCGGCCTTGAGTCGGCTCTGGCCCAGCGCGACAAGCCAGTGGTCGTCAGCCATGCCGGCAGCCCGCGCCATCATGACCCTGCCCACGGTCGGTTGGAAGGTCCCGTTGGCCCAGTGCCACCAGTAGATGAAGTCTGCGTACGCCGGGTCGGAGGGCTCGACGAAGAGCTTGCCGCTGGCGAACTTGCGGCTGATGTATTCCATGCAGGCGCCGCTTTCTGCGAGCGTCACGTCGCCGTCCTGGATGACGGGCGCGGTGCCCTGCGGATGGAGGGCCTTGTACTCGTCCGGCGCGAGCGTGGGCGCCCGCTTGTAGAGCTTAAGGGTGTACTCGACGCCTAGTTCTTCGCAGAGAAAGGGGATCCGTTCGGACTGCGAGACGCCGAGGTGGTGGACGGTAAGACCCATGGCTGTCGAGGCGTATTCTTGCGTACGGTGTATGTACGTGGGTGAGGATGGTGTGCAGGAGAGAAAAAGATGACGAGGAGCACAGGACGGAATACTAGGACCAGCTTGAAAACACCAGAGATGGATGACGGGTTCAACTTGGCTAGGAGGCTACGTGTGGATACGTGCCTGGCACCACTTTCATCTGCTTGATGACGCTGCGCGCCATGGTTATGGAACGCGGTTACGTCAAGAAGCGACTCCATCTATCGAGGCCGGCATTTCACAATCTCCAACATCCGCAACATCTGCCTCCTGGGGCATGGAGCGATTCAAGGTTGTCAAAGTTTTTTTGCTGCCCCATTCGTCCCATTCTATCGTTTCTGTGAGTCAATGACCCTTGATTTGAGGGCCCTATACCAGCCCTTGCACGTAATAATACGCAAGGCGAGGCATCAGGGTCAAGTTGTCGACTTGTCGGCCACGTGCTGTAGGAACATTGAATTCGTGGATCCACCGGCTGCTGCAGGATTCGGCAATTCCCAGGCTCCCGGGCTCGTATTTCGCGGGTGGAAGAATGTTGCTAAAAACTCTGGTTTGTCTCTGCATATATGAATATTAGTTCGCCGCTGGCCCAAAGCATCCGTAGGAAAGGTGACTGAAGCTGAAAAAAAAGAGAAGGATTCCATCCTCTCTTGTCCTCATCTACCAGACCCAACCCGGCAAATAGCTGGCCCCAAAACCTGTGATGCATGCATTCAATGTTGCCTGTCATTTTTATCAATGATCAAGTACATCATTCCACGCCGCGTTGCCCCAGATTGCCCCAACTCACGGCTCCAAGTATCGCCAACCCGGCACCATGGCATTGCAGCCGGATGCGCACCGCAAAACCGCCAGTCAAAAATTAATGTCGGCCAGGTACTTACTCAACAAGACGACGGCATTGAGGCAACATTCAGCTCGACTGCGCGCCCCCACTGTTCCGTATTGACACCACATGCATCAATTCATTCCCGTGGCGCTCGTCATGTCAGGCACCAAATGTCAATTCGTTCGACTCCCACCTGCGTCATCCATAGATCCATGGCACCCCTCAACACCAAAGCACACGCCACGCACATCCCTCGCCAACATATCCCTCGGCCTCCCACCAACCCGTAGCCGAAAATGCCACGCAAACTCTCCAAGCAACCGTCATTCACATCCGCCTCCCCGACCCTCACCGCATCGCCCGCCTCCCAGATCCCCCCGTCACTCACGGACCCAACCCTCCCGCTCCCCAAGCTCATCGTCTTCGACCTCGACTACACCCTCTGGCCCTTCTGGGTAGACACACACGTCACGCCCCCGCTCAAGCCCAACGCGGCGCACTCCCTCGCCACAGACCGCCACGGCGAAGAGTACACCTTCTACTCCGACGTCCCCCAGATCCTGCAGCTCCTCCCCCTCGCCGGCTCGCCCGTCAAGCTCGGCGTCGCGTCGCGAACCCACGCGCCCGCCCTGGCAAGGGACCTCCTGAAGATGCTGCACCTGCCGCCGGCGCAGGAGGGAGACTCGCGGCCCCGACGGGCCCTGGACGTCTTCGACGCCGGGCTGGAGATTTACCCCGGCAGCAAGATCCGCCACATTGAGCTGCTGCAGCGGAGGACGGGCGTCGAGTTCGAGGACATTTTGTTCTTTGACGACGAGAGCAGGAACCAGGAGACGGAGCGGCTGGGGATTACTATGAGGTTGGTCAGGGACGGGGTGTGCTGGGCCGAGATTGAGAAGGGCGTGGACGACTGGCGGAGGAGGAGGAGCGTTCGAAAAGGCAGTATTTGACATTTGACATTGGACGATGAAGCTCGCTTGACTTATGGAGAGGAGGAGGTCGAATGTTCAAGGCGCCTGACTGGAGGACCGTCACGCGGTGGTCAAGATACATTTGCGTAGAATAGAGGCAACACCACTGAAACATGTCGCGAATCGTAATATATATAGACTTTACACTGCGCCTATGGGTATTGCTAGAATATGCGCTTGAGAATTGTTTTCAAAACGGTCCAATGACCAACATCCAGGAATGGAAAAGACAAGATAACCCGTGCCTAACAGCCCAGCCCCCCCTTCCCCCCTTTTATCCCACTACATCATGTTCCAACTCATTGTATACCCAGTATGCATGCAAATGCGTCTAGATCCAGGCAGGCAAATACACAAAAATCATCCAAGTGGTCCGTCTAAGCAGCAGCAGCCGGCGCAACCTCAACCTGCGCAGCCGCAGTCTTGTCCTCCGTCAGCTTCAACTTCTCCACAATCTCGCCATTCGTAATCCCGTCCGCCTCCTCAGTCTGCGCGCCGTCGTCTCTCGTCTCGTCAGCCGTCTGCGTGCCCTCCGACACCTCGCCATTCGTCTGGGTCCCCTCCGCCGTCACCCCAGCCCCCTCCCCCTGCCCGTCGGTCTGCGTCTGCGCGTCCTCCTCGGCCGGCCACGTCTTTGGCACCGTGCAGATGCGCACATTCCTAGCCGCGCCCTTGTCTTTGCCCAGCGCGACACACGCCGCTCTCTTGCCGTCGTCGACGTCCTCCCACAGCAGGGGGCCGCTCGGGAACGACGAGTACCCATTCTCCCACGCGACGACCCCCTCCCAGCTCGGGTCCGGCACGCTCAGCTGCCCAAAGGAAAAGTCCAGCTCGCCGCCGTACTTTTTGGGGATGTTGCGGGGCTCGATGAAGGCCTCGAGCGTGGGCTTGACCTCGTGCGGGCTCAGGACGAAGATTTTCGACACCGTGATGGGGTCGAACCAGCGCTTGATCCA